TTTTGGTGCGAACAAGAAAGCCAGGAGGAAACCCAGAAAAAATTGAACGGAAAAATGACACGGGACCCGGATGGGTCACCAGTTGCAAAGCAAACCACTTTCCTCTCAAGGAACTATTACCGTGTCCCCAAGCGATGCATGATGATCCCAAGTTAGCCGGAAGACACGCCTAGCTCAAAACGTGAGCCCAATAAATTCACTTGAAATACAGTTCCCCATATCCGCTCTCGCCAGGCTGATGCTTTGCTCTGTCAAACTCATGTTGTCATTCTGCAAACGACACATCCTCCTGGGGAAAAGAAGTTCCCCGGCTCTCTGGCTCACCTGCATTCTTTGGGATCTGTGTGGCGATGCGGGACCTTCCCTGTGCCTGGCTTTCTGGGTAGGGCCCGAACCATGCATTCGCCGGGTTGCCACCAGCAAACTCTCCCTTTTCCAAGATGCTCATGTTCCTCCCTAACTGGCCTTCTCGGCCACATTTCCCAAGCCAAGCGGCGTGATGTACTTGGAAGGGTTGCGCAGGTAGTTGCAATTCTCGGCCTTGACACGCTGACCAACCAGGCGTACTAGACGCAACGTGGACAGAATCACCCAAAACTGGGTGTTGGTTGCACACCAGCGGCCGCTGCAACATCCGTGACGTTTCCCTGACCGACCCCGAAACGGGAACCGACCCCCGAGAAAGGCTTGGCAACATGGATCCTCATAGGTGTCCTTTTGGGGGAAATAGATGGGTTTGTCTGGTAGATGATTGAATCACCAGGTAAACCAGGAATCGCCATCTATTTTTCGAGCAAAATTACCAAAAATGACACCTATGCGGATCCTCTCGCGCTTGGACTTCCCGGCCACATAGGCCAAGAGCTCCAAGGCGTGCTCTGGCGGAAGCTTCTCCAAGGCCTTGACGAGTCCATGGGCGAATCGGGGGGGGGGGGGGACCCAAGCTGGGGTGTGTGTTGGGAAACCAAACAAGGGGCATGGTGGTCAAGCACTGGGCTGTCCTCAGATCCCCCGCTAAAAGTTTTAATTTTCAGTGGGTTGAATGGACACCCAACCACTAGACCGACAAAAAATAGTAAAAAGCTAGGGAAGCAGATGGCTGGGAACCACCAAAGAGCAAAGGTTACTTCTTTCCCTTTCAGACACACAGCAGCCTGGATGGCTTCCGCTTCCAGCTCGACCCCATCCTTCTGCACGCGCTCCAGCGCCTGGACATCCGTCGTCTTCCCCGTCCAGGCCAAACTTCCCGAAATGGTCTGTCTTTTTGGGAGGGTACCCTTGTCTGTTGGTATCAAAGGGAAACCACATGGAAACTAAGCATTTTGGGGTCCCCCTACAGAAAGGCACACCCAAATGTAGCCATGAGAAAAATGCAAAACCTAGTTTTGCATCCTCTTCATGGGCTGTGAGGAGTACGAAATGAGACGGAAACGACGAGTCTTCAAGAAAGATTGGAATCCTTCAAAAGGGATGAAGCTTCGATCAGCACAACGCGGCACGTACTAAAATCATACAGCTCAAACTCAACACATCAAACGCGCGTCCATGTGTCTCTAGGCATGCGGGCATCTTAGAAATAAAACCCGTGTCCAGGAAAGCTCGCCTGTACTCTCGCCAAATCACTTGGATGGCTGGTCTGACTCGGCTGACAAAGTTGGGTAAAGAAAGGGGCATCAGCACAGCTGCGTTGTATATGACAACTACTGCTCGTGTCCAAGGAACTTCCGGGCTGCTGCTCTTTGACTACTCGGGTGTTGCGCCAGGAATCCTGTCGGGGGAGCGTGAATCTGTATCGGGATCTGTGTCGGGTGTCCTTGTTTTTGGGGGACCCACAAAATGCCGGTCTTCCTGTTCCCGTTTCTGAAACCATCGGCATCCTCCCCACGGGCCTTTTGGACATCCTCCTGGCGGGCTCCCAATGCGGGGGGTGGGGCGGAGGGAGATGTTTGGGTTCGGAAAGATGAGGTGACTTGGGCCGAAAGGGATCAATCGAGGAGCAAATGGGGTGTGTCTCAAAATCAAGGGTATCCCAAAAATGGCTTCGGTGTTCCTCTAGGTTTCCCTTTCGCCCAACCTGAAAATCAACAAAAACACAAACACACATATCACGGCTCCAACCTAGTCATCTCTGGCCATGCTGCAAGCCGCGGCGCTGGCTTCTCGCTGGCTGAAGTGAGCATGTCCAAATGGATTTGTAGAGACCACCCTTTTTGGGAAGCTACTCATTAGAGACAAAGGGAACTGGGTTCGACAAAGCACCAGCTGTGCAGGTAGATAGCTCTTTCAGGTTGTTTGGCTTCATCCGCAAGGCTGAATTGAGGGGAGCATGGCTGGTGGTTTTGTACACCGATCGCCTCAGGATGCGTGCAGATGCGTGCAGATGCGTGCAGATGCGTGCAGGCAACTTCAAAATGGCATCGACTCTTCAAAATGATCTTGCTTGCTGTAAAGGCACTTCGAAATGACAGGCAGCATTGGCGTTTTGTGGAAAATGGCTGGGCGGGTCATTCTCGTACTTCCTGCCAAGAACAAGCATGTGCTTCAAAGCAGGTGAGCCCGCGCGATGTCCGATCGACGCGGTGGCTACAGGTCGCTTTCCGGGATGGATTCAAAACACAGGGAGTTCCCCTCAACACAATAGGATCCCCAAAACAGTCAGCCAGCGAAACCCGCTTATGAATTGATTGCTTGTTCCGAATTCAGAAGATAGCGGGCACCTTCCGTTTCTTGACGTGAATCGAAACATGGAAAGCCCGTCCGGTCCTGTGCGGGTTTCTCCTCTGGCATGGCTCAGGCCTGTGTGGCAAAAGACAGGACCCCTCCAATTGCTCGATTTCGTCTCTTTTCTTTCTGACGAGCCCCGGATTTTGTGACTCATGGAGATGTCCCTGCTGGAAGTTTGGCGCCTCCCAGTCCATACGGAAGCATCTTGATGGAAGCACCACTCCTCCTCTAAAATCCCAACTGCAATCCAATCTAGAATCTAGAAGACGACTGTCGGCTCAGACTGGGCACTGACCGCACACGCAAGAGAACCACCAGGGATCCAAAGGATTCTCCAAAAAACAGAAATGGCAGACATATGTCACGGAAAAGCAGCACACGTTGTACCGGGCCAAATTGGAAAACGTTGGCCATGGGCTTTGCGGCCCAGTGCTTCGTGTTCTGGCCCGAAACCCGAACATACGGCTCGCAAGCCTATCTTTGGTGCGTGCCCCTTAAAGGAGAGCCTGGGCCCGATAGTCAACCTGGTCAACCTCCGACGTTGAGACGCAACGAATCGATTGGCAACAACGGCATTTGGGTAATGCATGTGCCATAAACTATGGCAGAATTGATATGAGTTTCCTTTGGGTTTCCTGGTAAACCAATCTAAAAAAGCGTGCCCTCACACACGCACACACAATTGAAACAACCTGCCCCCGTGAACGTGTTTTGAGTTGGCACATCCATTGCTCAGGATGCAGCAGTGCTCATCCAAAACAAGTCAGATCAGTTGCGTATAGTTCCAAAGCATCGGAGCTTATCCGTGGGCGGCTTTCCAAAAAAGAACAACAATCCATCCGGAGCGTCAGTTGAACGCATAAGATGTTCGAGCCGCACCTGCTGCACCATGCGAATCTGGGTTTTGTCCGACGGCTCTGAGCAAAAATACAAAGTCGGTGTGATCCGCAGGGCCCGAAGAACCGCTACCGCTCCACTGGCACTTTCTTGGGAAACAGGGGTCTCGGAAGAGCTGGCCGGCGCTGGAAGTTCTGGGGAGGGCTGTACTTTGTAGTCCTGGCTTTGAGCACTTCGTGTCTGATTGGCGTCAAGTTGCCCTTTGAGCCATCGACAAAAAAGCTCAGACGAAAGGCACACGACCACACGCACAACCACGGCAAAGCGACCACGTCGATATACCACCCCAGAGGCGTATCCCCAATTGACTGGTGGCTCCCTAGTCTCATGCAAAATGATTTATGTCATAATCAAAACCTGGTAGTAACATGGTCTACCCATATCCTGTAGGGAAATTTAAAGGCGGCCGCAGCTATTTCCGGGGACTGCCCCTGACTGTGGCTCCTTTGGTCTTCAGGGGTAAGAGGGATGCATCCAGCGCCTGCAGCGCCCATGTCGTTCCACGGACTTGGAATTTGGAGCTCGCTGGTCCCTTCCCGGCTCCGACTTGCCAAACTGCCCGGAGCCGTCCGGTTTGATTTGAGGATAAAATTCATTTGGGGATAAAATTCAGTGGGTTCACACCCATGTGGGTGGTTCGCAAAATTGGGGACCCCTTCAGGTGAGTGGTCTCCTTTTGGTTTCCTCTTAACACCATCCCAAAAGGGGACCCCTATATTGAGAAACAATCATATAACTGAAACTAGGCTTCCCAATGTTGCCACATGCATTCAACACAGTGTTGCCCACTGCCTAACTGCTCAAGCAAAACCAAGACTCCTTCAACAAGACCAAGCAGTTGATAGTCTGTGTTCATGGAGCATGGAGCACATCACAGCCTCCATAAGCACGCGGGGGATTCTTTTCTCTAAAGGGCATGCAAAGGCCGAAAGGGGCATAGCCACAAAGCGCCACCGCTGCCAGCATCCATCGCAGAATGATGTTGCGGTGGTCATTAGATTGATCTGGGCGAATATGAGGGATCTCCGGGAAGGCCTTGCTTACCTTGGGTCACCTTATTCCCAAGTGAGGTCTCTGTAATTCACCCAGATTCAGGCGTAGCATCCGCAAGTGAAACACTGGGCGCTGCTTGGAATAGAATGTATTCAGAAATCCAGAGAAAGATCTCCCAGAATGAAATGTCTGGACCAAGCAATGATGCTAGACGTACACCTCAGCCACGGAGAGTATGAAACAAAAACGGATTTCATTGCAGTGCGATACAGAGTTCCAGAACCTGTCACGCAGCCGTCCAATTGCTACACCTACCGGAAAAACTTGCGGTTGCTTCAATATTTCATCTGGTTGGATCAAAGGGAAAGCGACTGGCAGTGTCTCTAGAGCAAGGCATGCTTAGCACCTCCCAGGTTTCACAAAGGCCCGTTGCCTGTCGGAATGATTCAGGCGACGTCTACATACGAGCCGTGAGCGGAATGCTTACGCTAGAGCCGTGACTCCACCATCCAGCCAAGCACTTCCTGGAGACCGGCGGTCTTTGCGAATTGCCTTGCGGTCTCAGTGAGCCTTGCCCGTGAGGTGTGGTTTCGTCTCACCTGGTTCCGGGACGACGGCTGAACGTGCCCGATGAATCGTTTAAACCACGGCTTGGTCCGTCACGCTTGTGTCTCACTGCTGGCTAGTCAAAAAGGCATTTCCAGCCGAAACGGTCAAAGGATGTATAAATCAAAGAACGACCTATCACAAAAGCACTGGGTCATAAGACATGCCTCAAACTGTTGCAATTGACAGAGGAAGGGGAAAGATCCTGATTGCCTGAGGTCTATGGTCTTCCTCTCACCTGGTACGTGGGATTCGAGGAAAGAAAACTGGGAAAGCAGGCCTTTTGAATTCTTGTGGAGGACCTATAGGACTGATCTGAGGGCTTCTGTCTTTTCGACATGAGTAGGGTCATGTTTCATCGTCACATAGGGGGAAAGACAAGTGACCTCGCCGAGGCTGATGACACTCAACTGTGTTAGAGTCCACCTAGAGGTCCCATCATGGACGATCGAGGGCTTCCCCCAAAATCCGGGATGCCAAGCAATTGAAGACAAACATTCCGCGAAGAATGCTGCGGAATGCTTTTGGGCTCCTCTGAACTTGTCGAGCAATGTCGCCTGACTACGCACGTCACCTCAAACTCCATGCGGAAAGTGTGGCATTGAAGATTGAAGCGCCGGCTGGGAAAGTATTATCATCCCAAGCCCTCAGCTGCTTGTCGGCTCAGTGATCATTGCCCTGTCTCAAAACGCACACACCTGGTGATTCTCGCAAACACCCGCTTTGACAAAATATCAAAACGCAAGGGCCACACATCCCATCTGCAAACCAGCTTGGAAACACGGAAAGCGGGGGGCCGCCAGTGCGCGCAGATTCTCAAAGTGCACTCTGGAAAGGGGTCTGCGGGAGTACATGTCTCCATAATTTGGTGGGATGTGTATGTGTGTGTGTGTATTCTTGCAGTCTTTTCCATTGCGTGTTTGGGTTTTTGTTGCAAGCTGCCGTCTTTTCTGCTGTTCTAATGCATTTCCAGGTTCTAAACAAGTAAACCAACGTCAAGGAAACCAAACAGAAACTAAAACAAAACTTATATATCTATATATGTATGTATTGAAAGGAAAAAGTAAAAAGACGATCCTCAGACAGTCTTTCCACTGGATCAGCCCTGACCAAAGCCAAACACCAAGCAAGATTCAAGAAACCGAAGAAGAAAAAGACACAAACCAACAAATACATTTCTCCGCCACTGTTTCAAGATGCAGCCACTCAATGAAACAAGTTCTGGAAAAATGTGTTGCTTCTTTGTTGTTGTTGACTTTGTTTGGTTTTGGGCGGAGCTGACCCAGTGGATTCGTCTTCATTGAAAGGAATTCCTACTTCAATTCAAGTACAAAATGGAAACTTGAGTTGAACTCTTTTTGACATTTACATTGGAAAGGAAATCCTGTGTAAAATCTAAATCGAAATCGAACAATTGTTATTTGAATTCTAATTTCAAAATGGAAATTATGATTGGAATATGTCCTTATCAAATCCTGTTTAAACTCTAATCGAAATGTAAAGTTCTATTTGGCAAGGAATTCTATCTAAGTGCCAAGTTCAAGAAATAATGTCCAGTAGGATTTGGAATATGTGTGAGTTGTATTCAAATTTTAATTGCTTTTTTAATGCAGGCGCTGGTCTAACTGCAGGAATTGCGGGATATGACGGACTGGATTCGAGCCGATCTGGGTATTCCGATCTGTTTTCTGGTCTCTGCGCCATTTTTGCCCCTCGCACCTAACGCACATAATTTGTGTTCAGTGGATGCGTTGCTGCACCAACAGTAATCTTGCCAGCTCATAGGAGAAAATTGGATGCGAGATGTAGGGATTGGCTTGCCAGGAGCAAGGCTTCAAGAAGTACAAGAAGTATGACGAGTCGATGGGCCCATTTCCTGTCTCTTGGATCCATGGGAAAGGGTCGAGACCATTAAAACTGATCTAATCACGTGACTGGAATCTCTAATCGGGTGACATTTGGATTTAATAGGTATCCTCCCACGCACTAATACTGGTTTTGCAGATGTGAATTTAGTACGAAAACCGCCACAAAACACTGTGTTTTACATGTGTTCTGCCCATGAACACGGCTTTTGAACCGAACCTTTGAATCACTTCTTTATGAAATGTTATTCAATACATATATCGTATTCGGAAAGAATCTGATCAAAAGTCCACTTTAAGCTGGAATTTAGATAATCATTCGAATTCAATTTCGACTTTACACACAGTTTACTCAAAAAGAGTTCAACAGGCGCAAAGCAGGTGCAAACAAAAGATACAGACTTGCATGCACGAGCAGATCAAACTATTGCAAACAGTGCACTCTCCCTTTAAATCAGTTAGCATGCTGCAATCACCAGCCATCCCCCTCCCCAGCATCCCCTGCTTCCCCAGCATCCCCACTCCCAGCATCATCTGCAACAGTCGCTTGCAACACTGATATCCACATTTCGGTGTGCCTTCTTTCAGCGGACCCACCAGATTAGCGGTTTTCCTTTGTTCCCTTCACAACCACGAAAAAGGGGCACCATCAACAAAGACCACACGCGCGTGGGGGTAGAAGGGGTAGAAGCGACAGCCAATGTAGGTCCCAAAATTGGAGATTCCTCGTTTCAAGCTGTTGGAAGAATTGTGTGGACCTTCGCTGTTTGGGCTCCGCGTTGGGCCGGGTGAGTCCCGGACCCTTGGGCGGCGTGCCCACAGTCCCATCCAGGCGCGTGGCCATGCACCTGAGGCGCGTTCGAGAAAGAATCACTCGCACACACGCACACACAGAGAAGCAAACGGTGACACAGAGACAATATACACGTGTGTGTGTGTGTGCTTGTGTGTGCTTGTGTGTGCTTTTCTGTCTGTGTGTTGTTGTGTTTGTGTGTGTGTGTGTTTGTCTGTTCGTGTGTTCGTGTGTTTGTGTTTTCGTGCGTGCGTGTGTTGACTTGTTCCTGTGTTCGTGTGCTCGTGCAATGCAATCGCGTGTTCGTGGAATCGTGTGCTTGTGTGTTTGTGTGATTGATTGATTGTGTTTGTGTTTGTGTGTTTGTGTGTTTGTGTGTTTGTGTGTTTGTGTGTTTGTGTGTTTGTGTGTTTGTGTGTTTGTGTGTTTGTGTGTTTGTGTGTGTGTGTTTGTGTGTGTGTGGGTTGTGTGTGTGTGTGTGTGTGTTTGTGTGTGTGCTTGTGTGCGTGTGTCTGTGTGACTGTGCTTTTGTGTTTGTGTGTTTGCGTGTTTGTGTGTTTGTGTGTTTGTGTGTTTGTGGATTTTCGTGTTTGTGTGTGATTGTGTGTGATTGTGTGATTGTGATTGTGTACTTGTGTGCTTGTGTGTGTGTGCTTGTGTGTTCGTTTGCCTGTATGTGTATGTGTGTGTGATTGAAACGCGCGCACAAGCACACACACACAAACACCCACTCAAAAACACACACACACACACAAACACACGAACACACAATTATACGAAAACACGGTTGCGCGATACACAGTTGCATTACACGAACACACAAACACGCGAACACATGAGCCCACGAAGACACGAACACACGAACACGCACACAAGAACAAACGCAAATGCATAAGCACAGGATTAGCGTGCGTGCGTGCGTGTGCGTGTGTGGTGCGTGTCTGTGACTGTCATTGTGTAGTGTGTGTGTGTGTGTGCGTGTGCTTATGTCCGTGCGTGTGCGTGTTTGTGTCTGTGCTTGTGTTTGTAATTGCGTGTGTGTGTGTGTGTTTGCGTATGTGTGTTTGTGTTTCTGTGTTTTCTGTATGTGTCTTTGTGTTTGGTTGTTTGTGTGGGTGTGTCTGTTTGTGCTTGTGTGTGTGTGCGTTTGTGTGCTTGAGCTGTGTTTGGGTGTTTGTGTGTGTGTGTGGTTGTCTGTGTGTGTGCGTGCTTGGGCATGTGTGTCTTTGTGTGCTTGTTTGGATGTGTTTGTGTGGTTCTCTGTTCGTGTGTTGGTGTGTTCGTGTTCATGTGTTCGCTTCTTCGTGTGTTCGTGTGCTCTTGTAGTCTAATCATGCAGTCGTGTGTTCGTGTAAGCGTGTGTTCGTGTGTTTGTGTGTGTGTGTTTGTGTGTTTGTGCTTGCGTGTTTCTGTTTGTGTCTCCTTGATTGTGTTGGTGAATTGGTGTGTGGGTGTGTTGGTGTGTTGGTGTGTTGGTGTGTTGGTGTGTTGGTGTGTTGGTGTGTTGGTGTGTTGGTGTGTTGGTGCGTTGGTGCGTTGGTGCGTTGGTGCGTGGGTGGTGGTGCGTTGGTGCGTTGGTGCGTTGGTGCGTTGGTGCGTTGGTGTGTTGGTGTGTTGGTGTGTTGGTGTGTTGGTGTGTTGGTGTGTTGGTGTGTTGGTGTGTTGGTGTGTTGGTGTGTTGGTGTGTTGGTGTGTTGGTGTTTTGGTGTGTTGGTGTGTTGGTGTGTTGGTGTGTTGGTGTGTTGGTGTGTTGGTGTGTTGGTGTGTTGGTGTGTTGGTGTGTTGGTGTGTTGGTGTGTTGGTGTGTTGGTGTGTTGGTGTGATGATGTGTTGGTGTGTTGGTGTGTTGGTGTGTTGGTGTGTTGGTGTGTTGGTGTGTTGGTGTTGTTGGTGTGTTGGTGTGTTGGTGTGTTGGTGTGTTGGTGTGTTGGTGTGTTGGTGTGTTGGTCTGTTGGTGTGTTGGTGTGTGGGTGTGTGGGTGTGTTGGTGTGATGGTGTCTGGGTGTGATGGTGTGTTGGTGTGTTGGTGTGTTGGTGTGTTGGTGTGTGGGTGTGTGGGTGTGTTGGTGTGTTGGTGTGTTGGTGTGCTGGTGTGTTGGTGTGTTGGTGTGTTGGTGTGTTGGTGTGTTGGTGTGTTGGTGTGTTGGTGTGTTGGTGTGTTGGTGTGTTGGTGTGTTGGTGTGTTGGTGTGTTGGTGTGTTGGTGTGTTGGTGTGTTGGTGTGTTGGTGTGTTGGTGTGTTGGTGTGTTGGTGTGTTGGTGTGTTGGTGTGTTGGTGTGTTGGTGTGTTGGTGTGTTGGTGTGTTGGTGTGTTGGTGTGTTGGTGTGTTGGTGTGTTGGTGTGTTGGTGTTGGTGTGTTGGTGTGTTGGTGTGTTGGTGTGTTGGTGTGTTGGTGTGTTGGTGTGTTGGTGTGTTGGTGTGTTGGGGTGTTGGTGTGTTGGTGTGTTGGTGTGTTGGTGTGTTGGTGTGTTGGTGTGATGGTCTGTTGGTCTGTTGGTGTGTTGGTGTGTGGGTGTGTGGGTGTGTGGGTGTGTGGGTGTGTGGGTGTGTTGGTGTGTTGGTGTGTTGGTGTGTTGGTGTGTTTGCGTGTTTGCGTGTTTGTGTGTTTGTGTGTGTGTGTGTGTTTGTCTTTGTGTGTTTGTGTGTGTGTGTGTGTCGAAATATAGAATCGCGTGTGTATATATACATATATGTATACATACGCCTGAAGCACTCAGGTGCCACCTTGTTTGGATAGAACAAGGAATGCCAGCAGCCCAATCCCCGACATGTGCAATCAATTTTTACATGCTCTCCCTGAATGCCGCGAGGTTTTTCAGGGGAAGCTCCGGATGAGCTGGAACTTCGGAGGCCCAATGCCATGAAGTGCATCGGTACCCACCCAGCCTTGCCATCGGAACCCGACACACCACCGGTATTCGAGGCATGCAGAAGCTGTAGCTCTCGCGATCAATCCCACGCCGGCAAGTTCGGTGAAATGTGTTTGGGTGTTTTGTCGCCGCAATGTGTCTTCAACATTTGCAAGAAAAAGCCCAGGATTTGTTGCGGTCTGAATGGGCAGGTTCAGATTCCACTTTTGCCCAGGGATACCTCCGCTAGGCAAGAGCTCCACAGACTGCTTGGGCCCGGGCTTCTCTACGCTCTTCTTTAGCGCCGACACCGCGGCGGCGTCCTCGTAGTTGGTGAACCACACCTGGCACATCGGCGTCCGTCGCCAAGAAACCTTCGGACACTTCCATGTGTGAACTGGGGTTGAGGCGGGTGTTTGATTTCGCTGCCCTCCTTTTTCAGAGTTTCTCAAAATGGATTTTGGACCGCTTTTGCTTGGCGTGAAAGCCAAAAGGCCAAAAGGGCTCTTGACCTTTCGGGCACCGCCCGGGTGAGCCATCGTCACAAGGTTGCACCTGTCATTTTGCTGCGCCATTCAGCTTCAGACGATGTCTTTGGGTGGCCTCCAAGATCCGGCATAGACCCTGATTGAACAAACTCGTGCCTAACAGGGACGAGCCATTTGGAAGCCATGATGCAGCTGATGAATTCGGCAATCCCCTGCAGTAAGGGTCCCTCAATTCAGGGATCCGGGCCAAACACGACAAACAAAGATTCGCATGCTCCCATCCAGATCCCAGCCCAGTAGCTGCCAGTAGTTGCCCAAAAAAGCAACAGCCAAATGAACAGCCAAATGCATTTGTGGATCCCTGAGGGCCCGTTGAAGACTGCCACTGAGATTGTGGCGCCGGGTCCCTTTAGTCAAAGGGCCGAGTACCAGCACTGGTTTCATTTCAATAGCTCCTACACTGCCCCAAGAGATCCAGTTGGGAGGCGCAAAATCTTGCCATGCAAAAACACATTCGTCTACCCCAAAGATGCTACCCTCAGAAAAACACGCTCCCATACTAGTGCCATACACAAAGCCCACAATCATGGCCAAGGCCCGGTGTCACATCTGATCTACCAATAACATGTCGCCGCGGTCTGAGCTCCTACGACCATGTCATTCAATATTGGCGGGTATCCCATTCCAAATGGAGTCTCCTCCCTATTGCTCCAGCAAATTGATCAACCGAGAGTAATGGTAACCTCGCAGAATGAAGTGTGTTCCCCGGTCCTCTTTGAATCCAAAAAAAAGCCTCCGATTTTTTGGACCCCAAAGGCCACAGGCACTCCCCTGCATAAAGCGGCCTCCAGACGGATCACTCCCGCCGCCCGCGGGCCGGACAATTTGTCCACCTGGACAGCCGACAGGAAACCGGTCAAAAGTGGAACAGCAGCCCCTTGGTATTTAGAGATAGTGGAGGATATGTTACTATGAGGGGATTCCCAAAGAACGATGCATCCGCATTCTTCCTGAGTCAAACTGACCTTGTCCTGTTGCGAATTTGATTTCAGTCAAACGAAAAGGAACCGAGCTTCCTGACCTGAACATGAGCTGCCCGAAGCAGGCAGCTCGGTTGAACCAACCCTGGACAAACAACAAAAGGGAGGCTCACAGAGACACCAAATACTGTCGATATTGTGTTTGTTGTGCATGTGCAGACGTTGGCAACTCTGCTAAGTGCACATGTTGCTTCTGTGAACCACGTGCCATCTGGCCTGCATCTATGCTGAAAAATCAAGAAAGAACACCAAACTCCAGACAACCAACAAAATATCGAGAAATCGGGAAAAAACTCGGAAAAAGGAAAACAACAAGGCACGCAAACAAATACTACTATATGCCTTTTTCAAGCATGTCGATGCACGAGCTGAGCATCAGTTGAGATCACATCGAGCTGCCAATGTCTCTGTTTCTTCGCAGCCCTCTCAAACACCATGATTCTTGACATGGCCACTCTTGAGCAAAATTGGGGTCTCAACGCAGCAGCTTTCAGTGCTCAGCGCCAGTCAAGGATGAAAGCGCAGTGTGGGGCGGGTCGCTTGGACACCTTTGAGTTGCTTTTTGCACCAATGCGTCTGTCTCCTGGTTGCCTCCTGATCCACTCCACCCCATACTTGTGTCCATTGTCTGACCATTCTTGTACACACTTCAAAGCAGTCCATTGTCTGACCATTCTTGTATTTGCTTTTGCGTTCTGAAGTCGATCGAGTTAGGGTTATCCGGCCCTTTCATTGTGGGCCCCGATATCTTACAGGGTCCACAGTTGCTCTGCCCGGTGGCTCATGCCTACGCACGATCTTCAACTGGGGACGTTCCCCTCCGAATGCCTCAGGATTGCTCGGAAGATCCTCACGACATGCTTGGGTCTTTGGTGCTTACTTTAAAAGAAAGCCTGAGGACTAAACTGAGTGCTTCGTTTTTTTAAAGAAAAAATGGTTTGACGGAAGAAAGGCCTGAAGACTAAACAATTGAGGATTCCTCTAGGTAGGATTCCTCTTGACTTCCTCTCGGTTTCCCTAAACCCTCAACCCTCAAAGGACGGCATCCTTTTTTGAGACAAGCCACGTCCGTGCTACTGGTTTCCGTCCCGAGTTCTCAGGTCCCCGCGAGCCGAATTCCAGTGATCATGTTGGCGGGCTCGACGGTCGCCCCGATCCTGGGCTTCACGTTCACAAATTCGGGGATTGGGTCAGTTTGGGGACAAAAATGTGGGTATGAGCCTTGAAGGATGGACATCATGTAGGTGGGGAGTCATGTCCACCAACCACGTGTAGCAAGGTTCCAACCATTGAAATTCATTGCTCACTCCAAGGAATGGATGCAGCTGGTCGCCACTTCACTGGATATCGCTCGCCTTGGCTACATGCATGTGTCTATCTTTACTGGAGCCCGCCAAACAAAACCATCAACACAGGGGTTGTTGCTAACCTGAACGGACAGCTCACCATGGTGGAGAACAAAATATCCCATGCGAGGAATGAGAGCGATGCTTGTATCATCATTCTGCATTTTGCAGAAAAAAGGTGTTAGTCGAAAAGCGAGATCCTTGTTCCTGGCCTGGTCCAGACTTAGAGTCGTGGATATGGACCCCAAAATTTGTGGCTTCCTTGCATAATGCCTGCAAAGCCACCCCAAAACGGGTACCCAACACGAGCGACGCCCGAATGACGCTTCCGACCAGTCACATACCAAGGACCAAGTTGTTCCAGTACTCGTCCACCTGTGCAGGTAACACCTTCGGTGAACACCGAACTGATCCACAGGGGACACCAACAGTTTTGGGATCATATGGGCTTGCGTTCAGATGGGGATGAAACCTCAAAATGGGTGGTACCCCGTTGGTTTCCCTCAGAAACAACCTCAGAAAGTGTACCCTCGAAAAGGGCGCACCCATGCGCCTTGTATATCTACCAGTCTTTTGACAACAACTCCAGTCGAAGGAATGGGGTCGTGCTTTTGGCGGGCAGGTTTGTAAGTGGACATCACACTACTAGTACCACCCAAGTAGCCAATAAGAATCGGAAAGAGCGCTACTGCCTACGCCAACGAGCGGAAGCAAGCCGTTCAATGGATAATGCTGGGTCTCGAATCAAGATCTGCCTGAGATAAAGCAACCTTGGGCAACATAAGAGCCTAAGACATTAGAAAGGGGCCATGCTACCCGCAAGAAAGAGAGGAGACACACCCCAGTGGTTGTACCCCTTGGGATTCCTTGCTTGCCACTACACGCTTCGCGCGCCTGGCCACCGCCGACGTTTGGCTTCAGCTGAAATTGGAAGTGGCCTCCGCTGGCATTCATCTTGTCCTGAGTTTGCAGACTCTCCCCTGCAAAGTTTTTAGGGGGAACCCCTAAAAAGGCGTGCCCCCAAGGAGATTCCTCTACCAGGCATCGCCTTTTTCGCACATGTGCGCGCCCAATTGACCGCTCAATTGGGCGCCCAAACCTTGAGGATCATGGTGGCTTTGTGGGGTTCCATGCGTAGGGGGTGGTTCTAAGGGTTGATTCCCTATCTGTCTATTTGGATATCTCTGAATTTTCAAGAGAAGGATCCCTGAGAATGGGGAGGGTACGGCTAGAGTATTGCTTGCCTATGCCGAAATCCACGCTGGTCACAACCTGGCCAAGTTCAGTTCAAAAGCATTGATTCTGGGAGGCGCCGCAAGATAGCAGTGGGCGATATGCTTGTGTTCAAACAAAAGTAGCAAGCATATCGCACAAGTTGTGTGCGGTGTGTAAAAGTGAATGTCTGACTTATCAAGGGGTGCTCATACGAAAAAGTAAAGCACCATGAAGCGTAAAAACAAAGAGAAGTCATTCGAGGGGTAGTAGGGCACTCTGGAACTCTGGTGGGCCCCTGTCCTCTGCATGCCGAAGCGCAAAGCATTCGGTCGCATTTGCGCGCGTATGCGGATCGCCCTGTGGCAAGCCTTTTGGTTGGGAATGTTAGTGGAAAATCTGAAGTCTGGCATTCCGTACAAGCAGTGCTATCCCAATCGAGGGCCGGACGTGCTATTGTTTGATCTTGTGAGGGTGCAGGCGTTGTTGTTCAAGCACTAAACATGGCACCCTGAGTCAAAGTCACCGCATCCTAAGTTGCCCGCTTTGGAGAAATACAAGACCAGGTAAGACTCTTTAAGATGCGTCACAAGATCCGAACGGTACCAACCAGGACAAAGCCAGCTGTTCGATTCCCCCATCATCCGTTCTTCAGTGTCTTGCCAAACAAGCTTGAGGGCCCTGCAACAAGAAGCCTTGGTCATGTCGTGGACCTGGAAAACCAATGGCGGACCGATTGGGCTTAAACATGTGTGTCACAGTCGCGGCCTCCGTCACACCAAGGTACCATACAATTGCAATATTTAGTCTCAAGGCCATTCTAATTATTCTGAATTCCCTCCTTTGTCCCCTAAAATTGGTTCGGCCAGCGCGAAAAATGCCAAAAGATGGGCGGGAGACAACTCCTTGGCCATATTAACTGGAAAACGATGAAACCGGTTGGTCCGAACAGCTCCAGGCTGTCTGTCCTCCCACTCCGGACGGATGTTCTCGCGGAAGATCATGATGGCATCCTCGGTGGGCGCTTGGGGATGCTGGGATGCTGGCGTGCTGGGGATGGCATCTACCCTCTACAAGAACCAGGCAAACCACCAATCCAAACCACCAACCAGGGGTTACGAAAAATCAGGGGTGGGAGATCACGGAGATGAGATCGGATGGCATCTCGGTTGGTTGCCAGCCAGGTGCAAGAGAAGGGAACGATTCTTTCAGCCCAGTGGCTGTGAGTTTGGACAAAGGAAAAAAAACATCTCAGACAGGTTTCCGGATTTTTGAGAAGTAACTTAGGGCTGTAGAGCTACAACAACCCAGGATGACTCCGTCTTGCTGGGGCTGAAACTGCAAGCGTAACCCTTCTTGCTGCAAGGCAAACAGCTCATGTGTGGCGTTTGGCGTTCCTTGTTCTCAGTAGCCTGAAGCTCAGTTTGCCCCAAACTCATTTGGATTGGCGGCTCACAGGTGTCAGTTACCCTCACAACCAGGGGTTAAATCCCCCAAAAAACAATACAAACCACCAATTGAAATAAATCTGATGAAGCCCTAGCTGAGATCCTCTACAAAAAGGCACAAGCCCTTGCTGCCAAGCATCGATCACGTGCAGGCCGTCCGATTGCTCGCGAACCATTCGTTTCTGGCCGCGGCCGCGGCGACGAAAGCCGCCGGGAATGGACAAACGGCCCCGAGATAAGTAGAGTGGTCCGCTGTTGAATTGCGTCCTTCTTCAGGGCTCAACCAACAGTCAGAACCAGCGAGAGCACCGAATGGGTGTGGGTCGAAGAATCCAAAGCCATTAAAAAGCCATGCAGACACCTGGCCATGGCCATCAAAGTCGCATGACTGTCTGTCGCTTTCGATCTGCGTGCCGTGGCCAAACCTCAAAGCAAGAAGCACTGGATGTTTTCAGACCTGCCATGTTTGGCCTCCGAGTCTGGAGGCATAAAACCCAGCTCGAGATCCCATGAAAGAATGGGCTCGCTCCCAAAAAACAAAGGGAAACCTCACGAAACAGCGCCTGGACTTTGACACAGCAAACATGGCCCCCTCCAAAATGCTGAGTTTCCTGATATCCGGCCTGAAGATGCCAACAAGGCCCCAACGAAAGCAACTTGCCACTGATTCCCGCTGATTCACCGAGGTAGTGTGAAAAGCAGTACAAAGCCTTCCGAGTTGTTCACTGGCGAGTCGTCCCCTCTCCTGCTCCAACAGCTCCGAGGGCTGTGGCATGTGGTTCCACAGCTTCCAGAACTCCTGCGTCATTTGCCCGGGTTTGCTGTACGTCGTATGCGTCGTTTTCAGGTCGGTGCAACCAGCGGGTGTAAGCCCCATGGCCAGGGAGAGTTTTGCTGGATGGGGTGGTCTCACTTCCCCCGTCCTGCACGGTCGAGAATGCTGCCACCTCGGGTGCGAATCATCGCGCAAGGGAACTGTCCCGGGTCTTAGTTCTCCCCCAGAAAAGGACTCGCAACATGTGTGCCAACCGGATGGAATTCCTGTAAATCGACGAATCTAGTGAAAGTAAACACTGCAAAGGTGTTGGAATTGCATTGTCTCCTGAAGCCCGCATAGGCCCTCGACTTGATGATGTCCATTGAAATCGCGCAATGTTCATCAAATCGGGGGGCTTGTGAATAACATGGCGCGGACTGAGAGCCAAAAGCAAGAGCGGGGGGCCACGCCTTATGTGTGGCATCGGAGTAGGCGGCCGACTTGTCGTTGGATTGCATGATCTGTTCCCAGATCGACCTTGGCCATGAGATTGCAAGCGCCTTGCACTCTCGGCACTGCGAGCGACATGGGAATTTGGTGAACCACCATGTCCCCCTGGCAAATCCGTGCAACCTCATCCCCTGTACAGTTTGACATGTTGCACCTGAAGATGAATTCATTATGTCAATTTGGGGAAGCAGCAAGTGCAGATGGTGTTGATCCTGATGGGGGGGTCCTTGGATAGAATAGTGAACCCTTTTTTGTTTGGCAAAAGGGAACTATTCGCTTTGGGATCCCAATGTCACCCAATTCGCAAGTTGCGTCTCTCACCTTGCAGCAGAGCTAAAGAGAAAAACTGCTGCAAGGCGGCCATGTGTATCGCAGCGGCAAGTCTTTCTTGAGCATTTCCTCGTTCTCCGCTGAGTTGTCTGAAGTAAACCTCACAGCATTGCCAGGGCTTGACAGTGTGCGATTCGACCAGCTTGCTGAGCAAGCAAGCAGGCAAGCAAGCAAGCACGCAAACAAACAAGCAAGCAAACAAACAAACAAACAAACAAACAAAACAAATCAAAACAAAACAAACCATGCAAAACAAACACAGAAAGCAAGCAAGCAAGCAAGCAAGCAAGCAAGCAAGCAAGCAAGCAAGCAAGCAAGCAAGCAAACAAACAAACAAACCAAAGCAAGCAAAGAAAGCAAACAAACAAACAAACAAACAAACAAACAAACAAGCAAACAAGCAAACAAACAAACAAACAAACAAACAAGCAAGCAAACAAAACAAACACACAATCAAAGAAACAAACACACAAACACACAAGCAAAGAAAGAACAACCGACCCCTCAACGTGTAGCATCTGTTCTTGAAGGGCCACCTCCGCTGGCAAAAACTCTTCGCAATCGCTCTCTATCACGGGCAAAGTGCAGGGGGACCCTGGAGGAGCATTGGTGAACTTGGAGCGGGGTGCGAGTCGCGAGGCATGGAGCACAATAGCTTAACATCTGAGTACCCCGGCACGTGAGTCGGGAAAACATTGATGTTGCAAGCAGAAGCACTAGGTTAGGGTCTAGACAATGGAAGGACCTGCAGAAACAAGCTACTTGCCACAGGTTGAGATCAATCTAGCGTGCGCCACCTGTCCCTTCATGAGAGACGAGGCCAATGGCCACAGGACAAGTTCCATGTCCCCCCACAGTATGGACGACTTTCCCTCCCTTGATGGATGGCCAGAGGGTTTTGGAAGACCTGCGAAAGGGCTGGGCCTACTGCCATGGTTGCGCGATGGACTAACCGCCGCCAAGGAACTTGAGGTTTGCATTGACCCCCTCATTGAAGCTGAGGTATGCCATCCTGAGACGGCCAAAGCCCAGTCACCAGTCCCGCAAATTCAGCATGGAGAATGTAGCATCGCAAGCCAGTTAGCCAACAAACCAGCAGCACAAAGACAGACAGACAGGCAGACAGACAGAAAGAAATACAACAGGCAGACAGACAGACAGACAGACAGACAGACAGACAGACAGACAGACAGACCGACCGACGGACGGACGGACAGACGGACAGACGGACAGACGGACAGACGGACACATGTCAAGCAGCAAGTAAGTGCAAGCAAACACAATCAACTCAACCATCTATCTCACGTCATGAGCAATCACATGAACAAGTGACAAACTCTGCCAACCACAACAAAAATGAACTCTGTGGATGCCTTTGTCAGGATCATGCGAAACATGCCACTGCCCCAACAGGTCGGTGGCAGTTTTTGGACTTGTTGGATTGGGTGCCAACACCTTCAATACGGCAAATGGAAAACCTTGGCGGAACCCGCTAGAAGCAGGCCTCATTCAAGGATGCATCCTGTGCTAGTGGTGGTTCAACAGTCCTGGTGGAGAAAAAGCGATCGCGCAAGCACCTCACATGGTGGCATCACAGCACAAGTTGGCAATCTCGACCAAGCCTACCAGTCTGCACAAATCAGCATGATTCTTGGAACGAGACCAATGGTCGAAAAACGCAGCGGACGATTCACAACTTATCAAGTATTCATGATGCACATGTGAGTGTTCACCAAAAAGAATCCTGAATACTGTCAAGCAAGTGACCGCTTATCAATAAGAGCAGCTCTCAGCACCCATTGGCGATGGCTTCCCCGCAAATATGTATCATGGATTTTTGGGCCTATCTGCATTCCTTCCTAAACCAGCCAGTAGAACCTCCCCCCCCCCAAAAAAAAAAAAAAAAACCTCTTGGGCGCTCATTTCGTGCGCCAAGTTGCGCGTCACGCACACTGACACCTGACAGGATTCGCGGCCTCGCCCCAAAAAAGAACAAGCTGCCCAAGAGGTGGGCTGGCGAAGTACAAACAAAACCCAATCATAGCCTCATGCCTTTGTTCCTTTCAGCGGCATCTCGTATTCGATTTAAATATGCACCGCACATCTTTGTGACTGTATCCTTCCCAACGGATGCCACCCCAATTAATACTTGCCAAGCAAAATATCAATATTTCTTGGGCTCCTCCATTTTAGGGACCCCCCCAAACCCGAAACACGGTGTTTCCCTTTGGCGTCCCCTTTAAAAAGCAACTCGAAAAATGGGGTCCCCCTTGCTGCACAGCTGGCCTGGCCGCGCTTGGCTAAACCTCCCACATCCTCGCTGAGCCAGAAATGCCAGAAACGCGTTGCGCCGTCGCGATCGGATCGCAGCCCTTCGGCAATTCCTTTTAAAGCCGAAGTCAGCTGAAAGCCAGCTGCAGAGTACTCTCTAAGCGGTAGGTCCGTTAAGGGGAAACCCCCCAAAAATGCTTACTTTGACAAATCCTAGCAACTGGCAAAATGCTGACACCAGAATTGGAACCTGGAAACCCATCATGAGTGCCGGATTCTGGCGTCTACGTCAAAAAGATCAGAAGACATCTGGCGTGACAGCTGAACACATACCTTGCACGTACTGATGTGCAAAAGAGATTAAAGCCTGGGTCACGCGACATTGCTTGCACTCACATGACATATGCTGAAAACTTATTCTGACTTACCCTACGCAATATGACATAGCTTGTGAAAAATGATACATAATCCCAATAGCGCAAACAGCAGAGGCATAGCTACGTCTGGCAAAAAGAAAACACCTTAGGGAACTCATCATTCTTTCTTTTACTGACAACCCGTGCGACTCTGCTGCCCATCTTGCACAAGGGTCCACCCAGCGGATGTGTGTGCGTGTGCCCAAGCGAGCCACTTTCAGCTTATCGTGGTTTGAGGATTTTGGAGAACAAGGGGTCGCCCTACAAGCTCGCAAATAGGGTTTCACTCCTCCGCCCCGTCAGAACTTGAATGTCAACAGATTGGGCGCACTCTGCTTCGAGCTGTCGCCGCCAACAAGGACTTGAAATAGCATGAAAAAGACAATGGTTGCTTCAACTTCTTCGTGATCACAATGACGTGCCCACGGGATGTGTGGAAAGCTCACACCGAGGTGCGAAGCAGCAGTTCTCGGTTTTCCCCTCCCCCACTCATCTGGTAAACTCGATGCTTGGCCCTCGTCGCGGGGCCTGGACTGCCCAGCAAACAGAGCCCAGTGAGCGAGCTTGTGAATCGGCTCTCGTCTGGCCAGGTGGGCTTTCCAACAGGCTGCTTGTTTGTTCATTTCTAAGTGGGAGCTTACCTGATTTGTGTTTGCCGTGCTGATATCAAAAAAGTGCCGTCTGCAATGGCAGGTGTCCTGTCCGAATTGCAATAGGTTCAAGCTTCACGGTATCACCTAAGTAGAACTCTTCATTGGAACTCCCTTACGTCGAGCTTAGGCCAGCAATCATGGCACGAGGATATGCGTGTATATAAGAAAAATACATACAGAGAAGGAGAGAGAGAGAGAGAGAGAGAATGCATATTTGCAGATGTGCATACGTACATATCTACACGTATACATATGTATAGAGAGAAACAGCGAGAGAGAGAGAGAGAGAAGGAGAAACACAAACATCCTTACATTATACACCTGAACCTTGCCTTGTAAATTGTGGTATCCCTTTATTTTGGTGGAAAAAGCCATGTTTCAAATGGGCAAAATGTATCTTTTAGGGAGCCCTGACAAATAAAGTGTGGTATAGTGTGTGTGTGTGTGTATGTATATGTGTGTGTGTGTGTCTGTGTCAGTCTGCAAAGCGTGTGTTTGGAGGGCTCAAGAGACATTGAGCCAAAACATCAAAGCGCCTGTCCTTGACAGAAGACGTCTGAGCCCTAACCATTGATACAAGGCGTGTTCAAACAGCACTAAGCTTTTCTAAATCCGGGATCATCGCCCAAGTGGCCGCGAACAACATCGCCCTCTGCACTGCTTCGGGCGAAGCGGCGAGGCGCCGGCCAAGGCGAAGCCGAGAAACTCATAGCAGGATTTCCTTTCACCACCTAACAAATTTGGAAAATTGCTTCGTGAGGAATATGGGAACCCGATTCCAAGATGATTTTGGATCCTCTTATGGGAACTCCGCTGCATCCGTAAATGAATAGAGAACGGTTCGCAAAAGCTAAGCAAAAAGGACCCGGCCTCGGTCAGAAACCCGGGCTCCCTTCGGAGTCCAGAGCGGGCGACAGAGCGCACCGAGTCTTGCCTTCGAGTTCTTCTTGAGGGTACCTTTTCAGGTTATGTGTTTAAAGACAACCACCAATTGTGGGCGTCCCAAGCTCTGACACATATCATGAACATCTTGAGAGACATGACTTCACGAAGTGAACTTCACGGCTTCAAATAGCGAGAAGCAACGAGCATGATCCCTTGATGAATGGACAAAAGCCGCTTCGGATGAAACCCGATTTCAATGAAGGGATGGACCACTTGTTCGAAATAGTTTTGTACTTCCAGATTATGACTGAAATCAACAATTTGTACCGGGGCCTGTTTGAGAGCACATCCATGTCCATGTTTTCCATTTGGGCCGTGCACGAGACGCCTGGAAAGTTCCGCGTATGTCACGTGGCATCTTCTTCCACACTGTGTTGTCTTCCAGTGTGGTTAATGCACAGCGAATGGAACATACCAGGAAGGTGTTGAGATATATCATGAGGAAACAATTTGAAGGGGGAAGCTTCCTGGCATCACACCCCTGGGGGGAGGGCATTTGGCGCATTCACCTGCATGTGGCAAGACCCAGTCATCCGAATTGCACCAGGCACCAAGCACGCCATTTCTGCGAGCTGGCGTCTCCGGTGCTCTCAAGATGCAGAAAAGCTACGACGCCATCACATGACCTCGGCCAGATGTGCACATGGGCATGTGGGGAACAACAGCATTACTGCTTCCTTGCTGCTTTCGTTCGGACAGTTTGGTGCAGTCGAACACGTCAGTGGTCGCCAGTTGTTTTAACTTGTATGATCCCCCCGATCATTGCTGCTCAACATGTCTCCAAGTGTTGGGCTTCCATTAGCTTGCTTTTCTCCCCTCCCTCCAACAATCATGGTGAAAGGAAGGGTTTGGAAGACTACCTTCCTTTTGGGGAAGCCTCCTGTCCACTTCCAGGTTGTTGGAAGGAGGGTATCCTCCTCTTTAATTCTGCGTCCCTTGATTGCGAAGCCCAACTCACCAGCACCCTTACCACTAGCAGAAGAGAAGCACAGCCTTCGGAAAGCCATGGTCGATACAATATCCTGGCCAGCGCAAAGCCAGGCAAAAAAAAGTAGTTCAGTCTATCTGCAAGAACCACTTTGTTGCAACTTGAGCTAGCAACGCGACTGTCCCGACTAGCTTGCCTGAAGAAACACTTCGAGAAACACGTCAAAATCCTCATTGAGAAAGATTTGGTGTTGAATAAAACTGGATGCCATTAAATCGGACTGAACACTTGGAATGACCCTGTTTCAACCATGATCCTGGCGCTCGCAATACGTGACATCTGGGGAATTCCTTTTGCGTGAAACACCAAAGGATCCCCAAGCAACGCCCACCATGAAAACCATGCGCGCCATCACCTGACGAGTCAATGTTCCGATGAAGCCTTGAAAAGTGCCAACAATGATATTGGCCTCAGAGATGCAGACCAGCACTTAGGATGGGAGGCGAATTTGCTTTTGAGGCTTTCTAACCATCATGCTGGGGAGCATACCCCCAAGAAATCGGACAGCTCGGTGCTGGCAACCCAACAGGCTTCTGGTCAGGTTTTCCCAGGGTGATGCGACGTGTTCAGCGCGCCCCTGAGTGATATGGAATGTGGGACTAACAAATAGTGAATATTGACCGTTGCTCATCTCAAGAATCTACATCACAATGGTGAATCTGTTGAGAAACACTGAACAAATTTCGACCACCGATATTGAACGTGAACGCGCTACCAAAAGGCATCATTCCATGTTGATAGACGCAAATGGACAGACATACAAGCGCACAGGCATATGTACGTGCATATATACATACAGTTACATATATGTGTATTTGCAGATATAGTATAGAAAAAGAGGGAGACATGCGTCTGTATACATGTACACAAGCCACATCTACACATGCTCACATTCACCTACACAAACAAACAAGCACGCAAGCAAGCAAGCAAGCAAGAAAGCAAGCAAGCAAGAAAGCAAGCAAGCTGTCAAACAAACAAACAAACAACAAACAAACTATCAACAAACAAACAAACAAACAAACAAGCAAGCAAGCAAGCAAGCAAGCTGTCAAACAGGCAGACAGGCAGACAGGCAGACAGGCAGGCAGACAGGCAGGCAGGCAGACAGGCAGATAGACAGACCACAGACACACAGACAGACCACTGACAGGCAGGCAAACAGGCAAACAGACAGACAGACAGGCGGACAAGCAGACAAGCGGGCAGACAGCCAGATTGGCACAGGCGATTGGCCATGCAGGCAGACTGGCAAGCAAACAAACAGGTAGGCAGAGACAAACAAAACAGGAAGGCAGACTTTCTCTGTGTGACTCGATGTTCTGGTTTCTGTCCATTTTTTGAGGGCTCAGTAACAATCCTTTTCAGGTAACTTCAAAGGGAAACCAAAAAAAAAAACGGAACCATGGGGTCCCCTAGGGTTGACGCATCCCGTGGTTTTGCATGCACCCTACCCAAAAAACCTCTGACTCGGCCGAGCGAGCCGCTGTGCAGCTTTGCTTGTCTAATTCCTTGACGGCGCGCTCCGCATCGCCCAGGTTGGCACCTTGGTGAGTCGGTTCGCCCGTGGATAGTTTGTTTGGTACCAGCTCGCGGTGCATCGTTTCATTTTCGCCTCCGTTGTGCAAAAGGATGCAACAAATTAGAGAACGGTTGTAAGAATATGTGTAAAACACACCTCTACCTGGGTGCTAAACATATGACATGTGGGAAATCAATATACCAACTGGATGCAAAAAATAAAACAGCTTGACAACCGAGGCCCATAACACAAAGCACGGAAGCAACCCACGCCGTCCTGTGCATAGCACCAGTGCCGCGAGCTTCCGGATTTTGGAGGTGAGCCCGATGAGATTGGATGGGTTGCCCCCTACCCTACAAGAACCAGGCGATCTTTCTCGCACCAATCAAAACCAATGTGGGCTGATCCTGACCCCTGACGGCAAGGCTCTGTTTTTGAGAAGCAGCCTGCAACTCCCTGCATATGATTTTCGGGTACTTTTTGGTGGACATCAGATTTAGGTGGGGATTCATGTCCACCGACCACTGAGCAAGGTTCCGAACATTCGTAGCCACGTCAACACTCCACGATGTTTTGCCTCCATCCTGAAACAGCGCCCGCACTGCGCGGTCCAATTCTCCTTGTTGCAACCACCCACCACAGCACCCTCCCAAAGCACCCTGCATCCAGCTGAAGGGCTCCCATGACTTCAAGAAAAGGGCTGACGGCCATCCCAAGTTTAAATTGACCAAGAATAATGTTCTTGCGTCACACCACGCCTTTGCGCATGTGCCCTCTATTCGAACGTCAGTTTTTTCTGCCCGCTTTGCTGGTTCAGCCTTCACCCCCCCCCCCACCCCCCCACACCCCGCTCTATGCATATCCGTAATTTTCGGCCCTTTCTTCTATATGCAACTACAAATGCCTCATTTGTACAGAAGCTGCCAATAGGGCTGTTGCGTATGGCCTCTGTCCCTAACTACGAAGGCGCGTCTTCGAGCCAAAAAGGAAGACTAGGGTTTTGCATTTTCACTCGAAAACCAAAAGACTCTAGTCTTTTTTGTGTCACTTTGTTTGTTTTTAGGTTGTCTCGAATGTTTTTTGGTTTTCTTGCTTTCCCACAGCTTTTTAGTTTCTGATTAAAAACAAGAAACTAAGTTCTTTTGGTTTCACACCCAAAAATAGTCTTTTTGGTGTTTTGAATGGAAAACAAGAACCCTAGTCTTTTTTGTTTTTGGGTGCAAACCAACAACCCTTGTCGTTTTTCCCCACCCGACAGGAAGGGGTTGTTAGATCCGCGTTTCCGATGCTTCTACACCACGCCCCCACCCAGTATCCCGCCAGAGCAGCTCGCCAGTGGATCCCGCCGAGTATCCCGCCAGAGCAGCTCGCCAGCTCGCCAATGGATCCCGCCGAGTATCCCGCCAGAGCTGCTCGCCAGTGGATCCCGCCGAGTATCTTGCCAGCGGGTCGCCAGTGGGTCCCGCCGAGTATCCCAAAGAACCCCGTCTTTTTTTTTTGATTGAAAACCAAAAAACGGTTCTTTGAGCAGAAAACCAAAAACTGATGAAAAACAAAGACTCGAGAAACCACCCCAAAACAAAAATAGACCACGGTTGGCCCGAAAGCATCACAGCCCAGCGAAGCTTGGCACAAAACTCATGCTAACATGGACTCGCATCATGCACAAGCAACATGGCCCAGGCCGGCCTGAAGCCTTGCTACTTCGACTTAGGCTTGAGCAAATGCTGACATAGCGCTGCCGCTCTCATGACGACGACTCTCATGATGACTCACTTTGTGCAAGACACCCAGACGACTCAGCGCAATGACTCTCATGATGACTCTGTGCAACGACTCTCATGATGACTCTGTGCAATGACGCTTTGTGAAGGTTGCTCTGCACAGTGACTCCCGTGATGACGCTGTGCAACGGAGCTGTGGGACTGTACTCCGCATGACAAGTTGCGATTTTTGAGCCGGAGCTGCGCAGTTGCTCTGTGCAAGCTGCTCTGCGCAAATTGCACTTAAAAGTTGCGATTTTGCAGCCGAAGCTGCGGAGGTGCACTCCGCGTACTGCCTTTGTACTTAAAGGTTGCGATTTTGCAGCCGGAGCTGCAGGAGTGTACTCCGCGTACTACGTTTGCACTTAAAAGTTACGAATTTCCAGCTGCGGAAGGGTCCTCCGCCTACTACGTTCGCACGTAAAAGTTGCAATTTCTGTCAAGAAGAGCTGCCGCGGACCAGGCGGGAATCAAACCCGCGACCGCGCGACTCCGAGAGCAGGCGCGCAAACCACGCGACAACTTCCAAAGATTCGCACGGTGCCACAGCCAGGCGCTTCGACCACGCCGATCTCCGCAGAGGGTCGCGCGGGAACCGCAAAAATCACAAAAAGTCCTCAGTTTCGCCGATCTCCGCAGAGGGTCGCGCGCGGCAGAAATCGTAAAAAGTCCTCAGTTTTTTGACCTCGACCACACGAATCTTCGCAGAGGGTCGCGCGCGCACCGCAGAAATCGTAAAAAGTCCTCAGTTGTTTGACCTCGACCACGCCGATCTCCGCAGAGGGCTGATTTCCGTAGAGCGCTGTCGCCGCCCTAAGAAGAGAAGAACGGAATATAGAATTCTCATGAGCAATGACTCTGTGCAATGACTCTGTGCTATGACTCTGTGTTATGACTTATGACTCATGATGATGATAATGATGATGATAACTCTTTGCAATGACTCTCATGATGCTAACTCCCATGAGCCCAGCGGAAGAACCCTTCGCCATGCTTTTGGGAAGAGAGAGAGAGAGAGAGAGAGAGAGAGAGAGAGAGAGAGAGAGAGAGAGAGAGAGAGAGAGAGAGAGAGAGACAGAGAGACAGAGAGGGAGAGAGAAGTGACAAAAGAATTGTGTTTTGTGTTCTTGGGTTTCTCGAGGTTTTTATGGAGTTCTAAAGCACTCCTCAAGCACATCTACTTCAAAAACATCTAGCAAGCATTCCAAGTACAAGAAAACATCTTCTACTGCTACAAACATTCATCAAACAGCACCATCTTCATGGACACTAAGTTCTGATGTTTAAAAGGCACCAAACATCTGCTTCAAATCATCTAGCAAGCTAGCAAGCATTCCCAGGCAAGAAAACATTTCCAAGGACACGAAGACATCTGCTTCTACTCAAAACACTCATCAAACAGCACCACCTTCCTGCTCATCAGATTCTGATGTTCCCAGAATGCTACAAAACACTGGCTTTTTCCAGTCTTTGTAGCCTGGGCGTGGATCCCGGGGGGGGGGACCACCATATATATATATATATATGTTTTCTCCATTTGATCCAGGTCTCTTAAAACAGGGCAGCTCTAAAACTGGTTTCCAGTTAATTCCTGGCGTACCTACGTGCGTGCCCCACCCGAACATTGAACCGCTGCCGCTCAGACAGAGAGTTTAATGCGAAACCATTTGGCCGTCTCAAATGGTCCGAATGTAAACATGTTTTGCCGAATCGACTGCCGCTCGTCTGGCTGCTTTTGTTCATCTGCAGATTGAGAATCAATGAATGCATGATCACGGGCGGCGAGAGAAGCTAGAGGAGTCTGTGCGTCATGCGTCAGAGTTGGTCATCAGTGAGTTGGACTATGACATAGCTGGATCTGAGTCACAATCAAAGCCCGGTACTACATGCAACGAATCAAAAGGGCGGTGGAACAGCTGACGCATGACTTCTCTCCGCGTCCCGGGGGACCCGAGCTATGCGAGCTATACACAACTAATCAATGAGCGGGAATGTGTCAAACCTCAAAACGGAAGGCAACCATAAAACCGCCGCGTGCACACATTCCCATGGGCGGTCTTGCTAAGGCTCAAAACTCCATCCCTGGATGAGGGGCAGCGCCAAGAGGGCCCTTCCCTATTGCGAACATGATTTCAACCCTTCCCAGTTGTCCACTTCAGGTGACGAATACTTGCCACGTGTTTCTCCTCCAAAGACAAGCACAGTGGACGAGGCGAGAAGAAACAAAACTGAAAGGAAGTCCATCCTTTCAGGACCTGCACTGTCCATTGCGAATACATTGCCAGGGCCTCCCCACATGTCACAGACCATGAGTTGAGTGCTTCCCCAAAAACGCCTTCCGCCACATGTCCCAGAATGTGGGGACCCAATGAGGCCTGGGTCATGTTGCCATGGAGCTAATATCGAACTTGTGACAAGGATTTGTCCGAGGGTAAATCAGAATCACTGGCTCTTGCTCATAGATTCGAAGTCTGCGCAATGTGACGATGCATCAATTTACAACTCTCTCGGCAAACATGGGCCACAACTTGTTGCTCCTCTCAGCTCTTCTGGGATTTTTCACCCATCCACCTACGCCACAACCTTGGGCGAGGTCCACTTTTGGCCCTCCAGCCACTCGAAGAAAACCTCGGTCAATGCAGCTTGGCGGAGGAGCACGGCTCCGCCGGGGGCTTGTCGTAGTACTTGAAGTCCAGCTCCGTGTTCTCCCCGCGGAGCTCCAGGGTGGCATCCTCCGAACCGAACGCTCACTGGAAACTGGGGCCACGGATGGCCATGTCGAACCCTCGGTTGGCATGGGGCGTGACAGGCGGACATGAAACCTTGCTGGGTGTTCCTAGTCCTTATGTTGTGGTGCAACATGATGGTTCCATCTCAAGACTTGGAAGCCACAAGGATGCGTCGCATGACCATTGTTGCGTCCGCGTGCGCAAACTCATGGCCCCACTCTGACCATGCACACAAATCCAGGGAATCAGTATTCTGAATGTGTTCTAGTGTGGCGCCCTCTCGAAACTCGAACCAATCTCAGATTGGACCAGGAGCAGAATGTCGTAGCTTCGAAGGTTCTTTGTGGATCTATCCTAGAGTGCTAAACAAAGTGCCCAAAGAGTGCTAAAGGACTGCACAAGCAAGCAGCAGGTAAAATCCTCTAAGGCATCCAAAGTGTTCCCTGAAAAAAGGAGCCCAAGCCCAACTCCTGACTCGCATCAAACAAGGGATGTTCAAAAAGGTCAGGACCATTCATCGTGGATGAGTCATCTTGGCCAGTGCTACGCGGGGGAGCAGGGTTCGCCATGACCAAAACTTGCCCGGGCTTACCTGGAGAAGAAACAGTTCGCCTTAAGCAGCCTTCTGAGAATGCTGTGCTTCGCAAGTGAAAGCCTTTGGTGTTCAAAACTTGCTACCCATATCACAATGCACTTGCAGAAAGCGAGCAGCGCGTGATGGGAGCAATGGCAGATCTTAGCAATGGCACATCTTCTGCATCCTCCCTCTGCGTTCACACCACCCACCGTAGTTGTTGTGTTTGCTTCGTACTGCTTCTTAAAGACCGGAAGACAAAGAGAACCAAACATAGAAATTCCTGCACAACATGACCAACACAATGCCGAGCAATGATGAACAATGCGTAAACCTGCCAAAACAATCCAACACAAACAGCCAAGAGCAGGAGACCACCTGAGCGGACTGAATCCTACAAAGCCAAAACCGAAAGGTATGGGGACAAAATCCAGCATATACCTAAACGGCAAACAATGTCCTGTCTGAACACTTACACACATGTGCGCACACTGAAGTATCTACACATCCTTTGCATGGATTGATACGGGTAGATGTATACGATTCTTGTACGTGCACATGCACGTAGCGCTGGTTGCTTGTGGTGTGTTGATATGCTTTGAGCACAATGCTTTCTGAACCCGCTTCCACAATCTCCTGCTTCATCTCAAAGCCATCCTCATCATAACAGATTGCCAACAAAGTATTCTCCACAAACGTGCTGTGAAGGGCTAGACATGATCGTCTATGCTCGTGGCCTAGCAAAGCCATGTTCGCCTATCTCGAGCATTGGATTTCCAGCCAATGCACGGTGTGGCTCTTCTGACAGAGGTCACAGATTCTAGTACAAATGGTGGGTACCCACGTCGCACCATTTGACGCCACTAGCGACACTCAGAAAGCCCATTCGGATCCGGACTCGCCACCCCTCTGTGCCAGACACCTTCCATTGCGGAAAGAGACAATACTCCTGGAATCCCAGAAACTCACCATGTCCATGACAGGCAAAAAAAAATAAGAGACCGGGTCCTTTCCGCTGCCAGACACCTTCCAGCTGGTTACCGCCGGCAAGGCGGTGCTCAGCTTCCTCTCCATGTCCTCCGAAACGCCATCCCCGCAAGTCCAAGGCCCACGTTTTGGTCGGGCTGTGGGAAATGGAATCCACTTCTGTGACACAACAACAACAAAAAGACTTCCCAAAGACTCACCCACCCATAAAGGGGAAGATTCCCTTGTTTCACAGAAGTGGGGATAAACCCCGGGTGATCAAACAACCCTCTATAATCCAACAAGAAGAGAGAACCTTCGAGCAACTTAAGGCTGAGTTGCCAAGTCGCTGGCGTAGTGAGGCCTCCGTCCTCTAAATTTGTCTTCATGGGAGTCTGGCCGTGGCTTGTGACACATGAGTGATGAAAACCAATGCGCCTGTGGCTTCAGCCGGCCGCCGGCCCTTCTGAAACCGCCTCACCCTAAAGGAGTGTGACTTGCCAAGAGGGGGCCAAGGCGGTCAATTCCTCGCAGCCTCGTTCTTCGCACTCTGCAACGAGCCATTGGTACTGGCAAACATGATGCATAACGATTTACCAAGGGTCTTGAGGTGCAATACTTAGGTCGTCAGAGTCGCTGTTATATGCAAGACATGAGTGGGAAATGTTTGCTGGCAGAGCGATTGAAGATTGATGGTAATGGGCGTGTCGCAATTCGGGTCACCTTTCCCACGCTTGCATTCACTGTACTCCTCGCCCGCTCCTGACATTCGGGCGGGGACATCATCATGGTGCCGGCAATCATACCCACCTTGATTGTCTCAACCCCGTTCTCAGTGGACAAAGTGACCTCGGCCAGGCTCAGCTGCAATGTTACGACATTGCGCATGCTGCAGAAACAGAACAGAACGAACAGAACAGAACAGAAAAGAACAAAACAGAACAGAACAGAACAGAACAGAACAGAAACAAGCAAGCAAGCAAGCAAGCAAACAAACAAACAAACAAACGAATACACGAACAAACAACGAAACACCAAAACAAAAGAAAGAGACAAGAAAGCATGTTGCTTCCAGCAGATGAGCAATGCTTGCTTTCAAAAGGAAGCTGTATGAATATACCTTCAACTGTGTTTTCGCATGTGACCTCAGGAAGCCACAAGTTTCACCACAAGTTCCAGATGGACCAGGCCAGGCGCATCGCTTTGAGAAGGCGAGTCCTTACAGAGCCAAGGGGCACCAGTCATCAGCGAGTTGCCCACCCTCATAGAGAGCCGGAAGGAGTTGGGGTCCGAAGGGGACTGAACCATCTCCATGACCAAGGCGAAACCACCGCCTCAGGCAAGCATGCTCAAGCTTTTGTTTCTTGCCAAATCGCGGCCTCTGTGCGATACACTTAACTTGTCCAGATCCAGATCTCCAAACTCAGAAGTTCCAAGAGGCCTCGCGGGGGCTATCCTTTTTAGGCCCGCGGTATGAGCCACTTGAAGCATGTTGGTTCAAAGCTTGTCCAAAACGCGTTCGTCGGCTTCCCTCAACTAGGGAAACGCTAGACGTGGTCTAACAGACGGTCTAGGATTATGCAAAAGTCGGCGATTTGCAGCATGATTCGTCCCGCGCTGCGTCGCGCTGCGTCCCACATGCTGCGTCGGCAATGCATGGGTGCTGAGCCAACTGCAGCGACTATTGCGCGGCATGATCGTCGTGCTGTGTCAGCGACGCGTCCGGAATGCACCCTAGGGTGCATCTGGATGAAAACTGCTGCGCGCGAGACCACGTGAGTTAGACCAGGTAATAATGATGTTGCAATTCATTAATAAAGCACCGCGTGTTCTAAATTCCCAGCAGCTTCCCTCGAGCCCCTTCCACCATTATCTCACCGTGCAAGAACCAAAAACGTCTCGAAGAATCTGCTGTTCAAGTACGCTCAACTGTCCTAGCGCAGGTCCAAACAAGCCAGCTTTCGAGCAACACAGGACTGTTCCCCATCAAAAAAAGATGCTACCCTAGATCGATCCTTCTTCCTTTTTTCGCTCTCTCTCTCTCTCTTTCTTTATCTCTCTCTGAGTGGTACCTCGAAACGGCCTCTATGTTGCGCAGCTTCCCGGAGGCTTTCCAAGATGCGATTTTGCCAACTGGTTGGAGCAGGATTTACGCGACATTTCGCTCTGAACTGGGCCCCAGTTGTTCAGCTGTGCCGAAAGTGAAGTTCGGCCCTGGGCTTTTCGCACGGCCGCCGGACAGACATCCCTTGCGTTGTGCTCGTCGATTTGATACCAAAGCGGACTTACGCGACCTTAAGACCTCCTTGAAAGCCTCGTTGAGCAGGAGTCTCATTCTTGCGGAGCGTGCAAATGGACGTCTCCGAAGCGCATGCTCCATCTGTTTTGCCCATTTCTCGCCTAAGCCTATGCCTTTTTGCTCCACTTTCGCCTCAGCATCTTTAATCCCCTATGAACCCGCCTCAGTGGGGTTTGTCTTTTTGTTGGCACCCCATGTTTAGCGGGTCTCAAGGAAAGCCACAAGGAACACAACACTTTGGGGGGTCCCATTCCTAAAAAGAAACGAGCCACCCGGCTGGCGACTCTACCCCCCCACAGCCGCGCCTCCACCGTAGCCGCCCTTGCCCGCGCCTTTGCCCTCCAGCAGTGCATCGAGGCTCGCCTTAGCGTGCGCCTTTTTGTGCTTTCAAAGGGAAACCAAACGAAATCCGTTGCAAGATGTTAAGTAGTCGGCATCCCTCAACAAAAGTGGCTTGGAGCCGGGTGGTTTGGATTCAAAAGGATGCTGCCAGATCATCCATATGTGGATCATGCTGGTACAGTAGGTTCCCATTACCTATTGGAACCGCGCGACTCATGATGACAATTAAGAACAAGGAAACGTTAATTTGATGTGGTGGTAGTCAGTGGTTGGAAAGTTTCAAACTGTCCTTTCGTTCAAAGGTAGCAAGCGGGCGTGCTACAATGGGAACGCAAAAGGATTGATCTGTGCTGGCGGTCGTCCAATTCCTACTTCGAGGAGAAGAAGCGAAAGGTTTCGGTCAAACTTGCACCGACCACGAACGCCGTGGATGGATTGTTGGACCAACTGCCAGTGCAATGGCACCATCCAAAGGGAAACGGTCTGGGTTGGCACTAGCTGCTACACGTTGGAACTACAGTTGCTTCAACATCGTCGTGACATCAGGCGAGTCACAAGCAAAACCTGGCAATCTCGCAACCAACCCCGGCCATTTCCGTTGTGTCAGCTTAAGGGGGACCCAAAATGCTTGGTATCCTTCGGGTTTTCTACGCCTTCACGCACCAAAAGGGGCTCACAGGCAGGGACAGCTAAGCAAGGCACCGGCTCGCCATTCACCACCAAACGCTGCAGCTCCCAAGAGCCGTGGGCCGGGTGGAGCGTCCTGGTAAAACTTAGCTCGGGGTGCCATTTGGCTGTTTCTAAAAACAGGAATGGGCCGCGAACATGACAACAGCGTCCTTTTGGCTTCCCCTGCCAAAGGAGCTCCGAAATCCATGTTGATATTATTTTTGCAACGAGAGAAACAACCGGATCGAAGTCAACCCTCACAAACTTGAGAGTGACGCAATGTCAAGTAACCGCGACCCCATGACAAACCTTAGCCCGTCCTCACGGGCGGCTTCCTCACTGAACGACGCAGAGAGATCGAGAACTTCTCGCCGTTGGCCCCAGAGATGGCAGGGAAGACCTGTCGAAACGAAAGGCCGAAAACGAAAACGCGAAAACAGACGAGCGTGATGTGCTTCTGATGGACCAAATCCACGCCGATCGGCAACAGTCGGTAGGTGGTGTATCCCTGTATATACCCATCCCAGCAGGTTGTTCTCCATCTATACTACCACCGAAACCTCGATCAGGGTGCACCGGTTCGTGCCGGGTGCACTCAAGACGATCTATACTTCCACTCTGAACCTGTGCTTGGAGGACATTGGGAGGAAGGGAAAGGATGCCTAGATATCGATACCATGAACATCCTGTTTGGCCTTTGCAACCGACTTTTGTTTATGCCCCTGGAGCCTACTTGCACAAATCGCGCATGGTTCCTTCGTTTCAGAGAAAGACTACTGACAGACCAAGGAACTGAATTTTGAGTGGTAGTGGATGAGCACAAAGACAAAACACGCTTTCGGTGTTCATGTGTCGTGCTCCTGGATTTATTGGGGCTCTTAATCAAAGACATCTATTTCAGACCCCACGCCCCTTTTGAGTTGGTGTACTAACGAAAGGAGACTCTAACGGACAAAGGTTTGGGGTGGGTTTAGCGTAGTCCGTTTAGAGTAGGTTCAGGCCTGGCTTCGTTTTAACATCCTCAGCATCGATTTCAACATCCTCAGCATCATTTGGTTTAGGCAGGGTTTAGGGTGGGTTCCGGGTTGGCTCAGGCTTGGCTCCGGGTGGGTTGCAAGAGCAAATTTGGGGGCGGCTGTGCTTGAGGTAGATGGTTTAGTGCTGGTTTATGGTGGGGCTTTTTGGGGTTGGTCTCGGATGGGTTTAGGGCTGGTTTAAGGTGAGTTTAAAATTGGCTCCGGTCGTGGTTGTGTTTAAGTGGGCTTAGGGTGGTTTAAGGTGCCACCCTACCTTAAACCACCCAAGTGGGCTTAAACCAAAGCCAATTTTAAACCCACCCTAAACCAGCCCTCAACCCGAAACCAACCCCAAGAAGCCCCACCATAAACCAGCACTAAACCATCTACCTCAAGCACAGCCACCCCCAAATTTGCTCTCAATAGACCCGGAGCCAAGCCTGAGCCAACCTGGAACCCACCCTAAACCCAACCTAAACCAAAGCCTGGTGATGCTGAGGATATTAAAACGATCCCGGTCAACCTACCCTAAACGGACTTTCCCAAGACTACCTAAACCTACCCTGAACCCATCCCACACCTTCGTCCCACCAAGGCGCCAACCAACCAACCAACCAACCAACCAACCAACCAACCAACCAACCAACCAACCAACCAAACCAAACCAAACCAAACCAAACCAAACCAAACCAAACCAACCAACCAACCAACCAACCAACCACCCGCCAGGGTTAGCCCTGTGCCAGGGCTAGGCCCAACAAAAAACACTCTTTCCGTGTCCTAATAAACCAACAAAACGACAGAGAAACGTGCCAAGTTTGGGACTGCTGCCTATGAAAAAGCCAACCGTGTCGGTCTTCTACCTTTTGAAACACCCTGGTCAACAATGCGTCAAAACTCCTTGAGTCATGGTCATACTTTCCCCAGGACTGACCATTGTCTCAAGTTTCCTGGGGTTTATGAGACCATCCCTACCAACCTTGGGGGCTGTTTTGACCATGGCGCATGCCTTTGGTTCCCTTGTGGACCGACCCACCCAACCCCCCCCCCCCCCGGCACCCCGGCACCTCTGCGCCCTTGGGCCGCTCGCAGCCCTGGAAGCCGATGCCCAGGTACTTGCCATTCTCCCAGAAGCCCATCGTCACGCTGCTCCTCGATTCGCATCGCTTTCCAAGCGATCCCGGATCGGATCGGGGAAGGGAAAGAAAAAGACACATGGCTGTGGCTGAAACATAGGGTTTGGGCCTTTGGGCCCTTGGGTCCTTAGTTTCGAGCCACACCCAGATCCGGGATTCGCATCGGAACTCCAGGGAGAAGGCATACCTTCGCCTGTGCAGGGATCTTCATGGGTAAGCTTATTGTACCAATAGGTGAGCTCATCATTTGCCCAGCTCCCATCCACTCGAGAAGCCCTTGGCCAGCCAACACTTCCATGGTTTGTACAGTGGCTGGCTCAACAAGAGTGAAGGAAGGAAGGAAGGAAGGAAGGAAGGAAGGAAGGAAGGAAGGAAGGAAGGAAGGCAGGCAGGCAGGCAGGCAGGCAGGCAGGAAGGAAGGAAGGAAGGAGGAAGGGAGGAGGAAGGGAGGGACGACCTGCAATTAGAGTGCAGCCAAGCCCTCACAACCCCCAGAGTCAGGCCGCCGCACGGGTTGCTGGTTACACTTTGCCAAGGGTGATTTTCTGCCTGGTTACATCATGGGTTTACACGTTGGCAAGTTTACAACATCTACTTATTGATGCTATTGTACCAGGCTCAGCCATTCTCTAGAACAAAGGAGTGTCTATTTCATATTTAGAAGACTCCCAGTTGGGTGTCGACTTTCCCTTGGCTGGTTCGCTTCCCAGCTGGGCCGCTCATCGCTGAGGTCCAGCTTCATCCCGATGACGTCACCCTTCTTGGTGCCCTCCCCAAATTGAGAAGTCTTCAGAGCGCCACCATCGCTGAGATTGCCCGGGCCACCGTAGAAGAGACCTACCCAGGAGCCCATAAACACCGCCATCCGCACAGCAAGCTCAAGCAAAAGGGGGGGCTATCGCTTCAAGAGGCTTGAGGACAATCACCGGGAAACAACGATTGCCTATGACTCCTGCCGGATCAAACCAACATCCAGCGGGCGGGTAAGCAACAAAGCAAAAACTTACACCTCAAGAAAGACAGAGAGACAGGGAGACAGACAGAGAGAGAGAGAGAGAGACAAAAACGCTCGCTCACACGCACACGCACACGCACACCCACACAATGCACAAACACAAACACGCAAATAAGCAAGCATGCGAAAGCTGACAAACAGGTGGCAGGCAGGACGGCAGGCAGGCAGGCAGCCTTGGACGCACACACACACACACCCACCCACACACCCACCCACCCACCCACCCACCCACCCACCTACCCACCCACCCACCCACCCACCCACCCACCCGCCCGCCTGCGCGCCGCGTTCACAAGCACACAAACACACAGACACACAAACACCCAAATACACAGATACACAGACTCACAAACGCATAGACACGCGCGGGAGCACACACACAAGCACACACACTCATGCACAGAAACAGACAAATAAATCAACAAACAAACAAACAAACAAACAAACAAACAAACAAACAAACAAACAAACAATCAAACAAAGAAACAAAGAAACAAAGAAAGAAACAAACACACACACACACATGCACACACACACACACATTCGCACACACACACAACATACTTAGATGAGTACGCAGGCCAAACCAAGCACACAAACACACACGCGCACACACACACATATATATATAAACATTCGCACACACATGCACACACAACATACTTAGATGAGTACGCAGGCCAAACCAAGCACACAAAAGAAGTAAAGGCACCATTCAAATCAAACCATAACCCGTACCGGAACAAGGAAATGACCACAAATACTACACAACAGAACACACCACAATCTTTCGGTCGAACTGTCAAATCTATACATGTGCAACTCCATCAATCCAGCCATGCGTCCGTCGTTCGTCTACCCACACCCACCCACCCATGCACCTCGGCCAAGCTACTAACTGGCTGACCTCCTCGCCGACAGTCCGAACCAAGCAATCGAGCGACCAGCACTTTCTGCTGGCCATTCATACGACAGGCAAACAGCTAGCAAACAATAAACAACAAAATCCAGCAATGGCAAGCAAACAAATACGTAACCAAAACACTACAAACAGCAAATTAGGCACAACGACACGCGATCAAGCAAGCACAGCACGGCAAAGCAAGGCAAGGCAGGGGCAAAGGCAAGGGCAAAGGCAAGGCAAAGGCAAGGCAAAGGCAAGGCAAAGGCAAAGGCAAAGGCAAAGGCAAAGGCAAGACAAGCAAGCAAAGCAGACGAAGGAAAGCAGACAAAGCAGAGCAAAGCAAGCCAGTCAGCAAGGCAGGTAAAGAAAAGTAAACAAGCGCAACCACGCGCAGCAAACACGCGCAAAGGCGCTAGTGTTCCCCAATAGGAGGCAGCCGACACGCGCGTTTCCTCCCACACCAAACCATGCTTGGCCCTGCCTCATGCCCAGGAAGCCCACTGGTTGCACCTAAGCGCAAACTCATGGGTCCAGGGGCACCTCGAACTGCTGCAAAGCAGTTGAGCGGCCCTGCAAGCCCGTCGCGGCGCGGCACCTCGCCCTGCGCCTGCTGTAGTAGGAAGGAAAAGCTCGGCCCCGGTTCTTGCAGTGTGTTGTACTGCTGCTCGAAGCGCTGCCGCCCGTTTGGAGAGTCTCCTCAGCTATCCCCAAGAGCCCTGGCATGCGCGGCATCTCGGACGCGCCACGGTGGCTTGACCACAGCCTGTAGAAGCCATGCGGACGAGAACGACGTCGAGGTACCGCTTGGTGACAGCTCCGCCGCGCCCAGCGGCACCTCGCAAGGACCAGAGCTTTGGAGCAGGTTTCGCGGAAGGTGAAGTACAGGGTGGAAGGGGCACCGTCCCAGTGGCAAAGGCATCAACTTTGCAGCTGAGGGAGTAAAGCCGAACCTCTGGGCAAATCCCTGCAGCTTCAATGACACTGAAGCCGTAGCCGGTGACCAAATGCCAGGCTCAGCAAGTTCGCTTCCGACCAGCCGGGCCGAAGAGCAGGAGAAGGATAGAAGTCTATGGCGTGCTCAAGGTACCTCTGAAGACAGTTGCTTCCTCGAGCCGCTGGGCGAGGGTCTACAGGATCGGAAATCCCAGCCAGGAGAACCCATGCCAGAAAGCCTCTGAGCCCTTGAGACAAAGCCAAAGCAGGGCCAAGAGAATAGCGTCCGCGACAGGCGAGGGGCACACTAGGCTCTGCAGAGCTGGTGGACCAGAGCAAGGTGGTCCCACACTAGCCGAGATGAACTACAAGGAGACAATGCGGCAATCAGTTCATACTTCGCAAAGCAAAGCAAGCAAGCGAAGCACAACAAGCAAAGCAAGCAAACCGCAACAAGCAAAGCAAAACAAGCAATGCAAACAAGCAAAGCACAACAAGCAAAAAAGACAAAGCAAAACAAGCACAGCAAAACAAGCGAGCAAGCAGGCAAGCAGACAAGTAAGCAAGAAAGCAGGTCAAGGCATGAAGGCCGCAAGGCAGCAAGGCAGTAGGCAGGAAGGCAGCAGGCAGGAAGGCAGGCAGGCCGGCAAACTATCCCACAGACCGGCACAAAGCAAAGAAGCAAACCTTGAATATGCCGCAAGTAGCAAATGAAAAAACTGAAAGGCGGCATCAACAACGACAACGACAACGACGATGACGACGACAACGACAACGACAACGACGACGACGACGACGACGACGACGACGACGACGACGACGACGACCACAACAACAACAACAACAACAACAACAACAACAACAACAACAACAACAACAACAACAACAACAACAACAACAACAACAACAACAACAACAACAGCAGCAGCAGCAGCAGCAGCAGCAGCAGCAGCAGCAGCAGCAACAGCAACAACCGTAACAACAGCAACAAAAAAATTAAAGGGCCGGATAACCCCACAAGTCTATGCTTATTGAAGTATGCGACACTTGCATCTGCCGAGCAGCGAATAATCCCAAATCCGAGACACGCAAAGACCCTCACATGCAAAACCTTCACGCAGTCAGCTATGTCGAAAACTCTCAGCACTTTGTTTTTCGCTCTGGCAGATCGAGGGGTCGCATTGGCATCGCCAATGGCATATGTCAGCGGCATATGTTTAACATATGGCTTGAAGTGCCAACGCGTCAGGCGCAGCATGTATCTGCCAGCCTGGCCCCATGCATCCTGCGCTGTAAGGCGCTAAGTACTTCAAGACGAAAGCCTTCCAAGAGCGGAACCCCATTTCTGCGGGCTTCTTTGCATTGCAGCTGGTTCTACAAGCGTATATAGGTCGCTCCCGCGACCGCAGATGCAAGCAACTTCCAAATCATCCACGCGTCCGAATCTTTCGATTGGGGTGTCCTGAAGTGCGGCTCGATGATGTGTTCTGGCACGGCTGCAAATGCTGCCATTTAGACAGCTGCCAAATGCTGCCCCTGCCACGCAAACACACGCTCAGATGCACAGAATGCTGCGCCTGCCACGACTTCGGCAATGGCATCTCCAAAGTGCTGCGCCTGCCACGATTTCGCGCGCCCCGAGCCGCGCGCGCGACAACATCCCAGCCCTTTAGACAGCTGCCAAATGCTGCCCCTGCCACGCAAACACACACTCAGATGCACAGAATGCTGCGCCTGCCACGACTTCGGCAATGGCATCTCCAAAGTGCTGCGCCTGCCACGATTTCGCGCGCCCCGAGCCGCGCGCGCGACAACATCCCAGCCCTTTAGACAGCTGCCAAATGCTGCCCCTGCCACGCAAACACACACTCAGATGCACAGAATGCTGCGCCTGCCACGACTTCGGCAATGGCATCTCCAAAGTGCTGCGCCTGCCACGATTTCGCGCGCCCCGAGCCGCGCGCGCGACAACATCCCATCCCTTTAGACAGCTGCCAAATGCTGCCCCTGCCACGCAAACACACACTCAGATGCACAGAATGCTGCGCCTGCCACGACTTCGGCAATGGCATCTCCAAAGTGCTGCGCCTGCCACGATTTCGCGGCCCCGAGCCGCGCGCGCGACAACATCCCAACCCTTTAGACAGCTGCCAAATGCTGCCCCTGCCACGCAAACACACACTCAGATGCACAGAATGCTGCGCCTGCCACGACTTCGGCAATGGCATCTCCAAAGTGCTGCGCATGCCACGATTTCGCGAGCCCCGAGCCGCGCGCGACAACATCCCAGCCCTTTAGACAGCTGCCAAATGCTGCCCCTGCCACGCAAACACACACTCAGATGCACAGATTACTGTGCCTGCCACGACTTCGGCAATGGCATCTCCAAAGTGCTGCGCCTGCCACGATTTCGCGAGCCCCGAGCCGCGCGCGCGACAACATCCCAATATTGAGTCTACAGCCGCCCGGCCCTGTTCCCCTGCCAGAGGAAGGCTGGCTGCACGACACGCGCTTATTGCACTCAGCGCCGCAGCTAGTGATTCTGCCCCCTCATAATCCGGCCTCAGGAGCCTTCGCTTTTCGCGGCATGTCACAGCACGCGGTTTGCGACAGGGCTTGGCGAGCTGGAGCTGACCGAAGCCCCTTCGTTTTTTTGGGGTTGGGTTGGCCCCGTTCGGTAAAACCTGTATGATGGTGTCACTCGCTTGCGGCCTTTTTGTGGGACAAACCAACCCCAAAAACCAGAGGGGGCCAAGCCAGCCCCAAAAACCGAATGGGGCTAACCCGACCCAAAAACCCGACCCCAAAAAACGAAAGGGCCAAACCAACCCCAAAAACACAAAGGGGGCCAAACCAATCCCAAAAACAAAGGGGGACAAACCAACCCCAAAAACCGAAGGCGGCCAAACCAACCCCAAAAACCGAACGCTGCCAACCCGACCCCAAAAAGCGAAGGAGGACAAACCAACCCCAAAAACTGAAGGGGGTAAACCAACCTCAAAAATTGAAGAACCGAACAAACCGAACGGCGCCAACCCCAAAAAACGAAGCAACCAACCCCGAAGAGAGCCCCCCTTTTTCTGGAGCCCTTTAGACAGCTGCCAAATGCTGCCCCTGCCACGCAAACACACACTCAGATGCACAGAATGCTGCGCCTGCCACGACTTCGGCAATGGCATCTCCAAAGTGCTGCGCCTGCCACGATTTCGCGAGCCCCGAGCCGCGCGCGCGACAACATCCCAGCCCTTTAGACAGCTGCCAAATGCTGCCCCTGCCACGCAAACACACACTCAGATGCACAGAATGCTGCGCCTGCCACGACTTCGGCAATGGCATCTCCAAAGTGCTGCGCCTGCCACGATTTCGCGAGCCCCGAGCCGCGCGCGCGACAACATCCCAGCCCTTTAGACAGCTGCCAAATGCTGCCCCTGCCACGCAAACACACACTCAGATGCACAGAATGCTGCGCCTGCCACGACTTCGGCAATGGCATCTCCAAAG